GACTTTTTTATTCTCTGGCTGCAAGTTGTTTGTTTTGAAGCAGTAGCAGTGTGTCTGTTTGTGAACCATCCATTTATTTGACAATTAAGGTTTTACTTTAAATAGAAATCACAAAACTAAATTCTTTGTCCTTTCAAAGCACTCTTTTTGTAAAGCTAAACTCTACAGAGCTTTATGCTAATTTCAAAGGGCTTTTTGCAGATTGGCGATCACAATAGTAATAATGACAAAGATTTTATCACCTGGAAAATCAAGCAACTTTGTTTGTTTGTTTTTTTTTTAATTAGGAGCTGTTTTGAATTTTAACTAGACCCTGTGTAGCAGTTCCTATGTTTGATTGTGTAAGATGCACCAGAATGCTGGAGTGTAGCCATTTAAAATTCAGTTTTAGTCCTGTCCTCCTCTGTGCTGTCGTCATCCTTTCTAGCCTGGTTCTTTTTTTTGACGTAACTGTATGTTCCTCTGTTAGGAACATACATCTAAGACTCCCTGTATCAGTTTGAGGTGTTAAAAAATCCCACCATTTTAAAGCCAGCAACATCAGGACATTTCCAAAGTGCATAATATTCCAGCGTGATGCTGCAAAGGCAGTAGGGTTCCAGGTAAGCATTGCAGCAGAGGAGCAGTGCAAATAAAACTTTATTGGGAAGCAAAATAAAAATTAATCCAGTAGTTCCTGGGATGATTTTTAGTATGATGGTTCAAGAACAAGAATCTCTGAATATAACTTGACAACAATGCCACCATATTAATATCACTTGGTTGGATCTAAAAGTAAAAAAAAAATTCCAAAAACATTCTGAGTGTAGCTGAACTTTGGAAGAAGCTCTGATTTGCATTTGCCAAAATCTTAGTGAAAAAAAAGGAAAATTGTTAGATCTGTCCTGAACTTTAAAACAACTTAAAAATCTCACCCTTATAAAAAGACATGCTTTGCCTGAAGCATCACATTGTTGCTGGTATTGGGAATTTAACCTTTAAAATGAATAGCAGGAACATTACTTTCAGTGTTATGATTCAGTACAGTACAGAATGATATTCACTCATGTGACAAACCTTACTTCTCACACTCACAGAACCTGTTAATGCTAAATTAAATACTCATTTTTGCAATTCATTCATTTTTGCAGGACTGCTCTAGTGGTGCTTTTGCAGTAGGAAGGCAATTATAATGGTGAGGTTTTCAGTGTGACATGGATAAAACTGGAGCTTAATCTTAGAAAACTACCCAGTAATATCTTACAGACTTCCATTATGTTCTCCAAAACATGACATGAAATACAGTAATAGTTATAAATCCAGTAGTACAGCTTTCTTGAACAGTCTCTGAGTACTTAAGGTGATCTCTCACTAACCTCTTTTTTTTTTCCCCACAGCAGTATTTTTTAAATATTTTTTTATACAATCATGTCTGTTTTAATTGTTATGTTGTCAATTTAATTTTGATGCAAGCCCATCTTTTTCAGCTTCTCAAATGCCATGAGACTCCAGCAATTCAAGTATGACTGTAGGCTCTCAAATTTTTATTACTATTTAATTACTATTAGTAATTTTACATTAAAGAGAGCAGCATGTCTCGACCTAGACAGGGCTGTAGCTGTTCTGTCATCACATGCCTGCTTACTCACCCACTCTTCCTTCCAAAAATGCATCTTTCGTCCCCATGTTAGTATTCCTGATGTGAATGAAACATTTCTGCCTGTGATTGGTGATAATCCATCATCTCCTTGTGGTCATTGACCCTGGAGCTGGAGTGACCAATAGTGCCTTTATAAAAACCAGGCAAGAACTGTTTGGAAAAGTAACAGCTTATGTGAAGTTGTTGTTTATTTGGATGGCTGTGCCACAGGAATGGAACAGAAACCTTCTGAAACCCCTCTGATTATTGAGATCCTGTTTACATTGCTGCTCCCCCAGGGGAAAGCTGGGATCAAAAAAGTGGAAGGCTAAACAGAACTCTGGGATGCTGTTTTGCACATCTGCTCCTGTACTACTCTGCAGGAATACTATCAAGTGTTAAATTGATTGTGGAAGAGATTTAATGACCAGTTCACAAACCCACTTCATTTATTCAAGAAGTCACTGATAGAATAGAAATCGTATTTGAAGTGTTCAATTTCCTCCTGCCCCAGGGCATGGCAAGAGGGTGGACACTGTCTCTGTGGAAGAATTTCTTGGCTGAAGCATGATACACAGCATCTAGTAACCTCTAACCAGAGGAATCTGGGAATCTAGTGGCCTTGATGACTATCTAACTAGATGTTTTGTTTGAATCCCTGGGCTGTTTTTAATTTGCATTTGTGTGGGCTTTTCACTGAGTCTGTATTTGCAAGAAGTAGAATGCTTCCCTGCCTTTGGAGCAGAATGTTAGAGGAAGCTTCTCTTGCCTCTGCTCTGTGCTGCAGGGCTGGAAGGCAAAATAATTAGTTCCACACAACTAAGAATAAATCACCCAAGTTCAAACATGATAGTGCCTGACAACTGGTAATGTTGGAAAAAAATACTCCAGTAAATCATTATTGATGGGAAAATCGGTGTGCAGAGTAGATGATGCCAGTGTAGCTTTGTGTACCTTTACAGCAAGGATAAGCTTGCTAACTTAGCCATAGATTGCTGGCTTTATGCTGCAAAATAAGTAAATATGGCAAGGACAAAAAGACTGTTAATAATTAAAAATAGTATATACTTTTCCTTTTTATTTTTGGAGGTTTTTAGAAATATGGTACAGTAATATATATATATTCCTTAGGTTTGTGGAATATTTCTGAGGAGATTTATCCTCTCTGAGTATTTCAAGTTCTCATTCCATCTTTGTGCCCCTGTGTGTTCCACAGGGCTTGGAGATTCCATTGAGATTTATTTCATCTTTTCATGGGTAGCAAAGAAAACCTATTTTGGTTTTCTGCTTACCTATTTCATTTTCATCAGTTATTTGAAAATTTGTTCTGAGTGCATTTTTTTTTAATTTTTTTAAATTTTTTTTTTTTAAATGTTGGGAATGCATTGTCTATTCTTTTTTGAAAGGATTCTCAAACTACTTTAAAGGACATGAGAGCAAATTTCTTCATTTATTAAATATATGGACAGAGTGTAGACTATTTGCTTTCTTCTTCAGGTTAGAGAGAGCCTATACTTATTATTTGAGAGAGAGCCTATATTTGTTACAGTATTGCAGAATTAGGAGAAAAATGGAATGGAGGCAATTTACTGTTGAGTGTGATTTCATAGGGAAATTCTGCATGTATTATTACAGAAATATTTCAGTTTTGACCTATAATGCCAGTTCCAGTTTTGTGTAATCTAAGGATCAGGTGCTTCAGTTATCTGACCCTGCAAAATGCAGAGCTGGAGCTACATTGGGCTTTTTAGGTAATGCCTAAATATGACTGGCAATATTTTGGCATACCTGCTGTTCCCTAAGTGATAACAAACCCCACCATTCATTGCTCCAGAAAAATAAGCATGTAGACTGAAGGAATAGACAGGTTCACCCTTCATACATGTCACATTTTTGGTTTGGGTGTTTTTTTAATAGCAGAGGGTGCAGTTGCAGTGGGGAGGTGCAGCAGTCATACATAGTGCTGTCATAGCAAACAATGTACTTAAAACATGAAAATGCACGCTGGCCTTGTGCAAATAAATGCTTGTGCTGCCTTGGTAAGCACCTTCATATGTGCTGAAGCTGAATTATTTAGCTGCCTCTCATGTGTGGTTTGCTCCCAGCAGAAAGCCACTCTGCACTGTCCCCTCTTCAGCCAGCCACAGCCTTTGGCCAGAGTGTTTCTCCTCCAGAAGTAAACACGAGTCTAAGAATAACTCAGCCTTTTTTGTAGTATATTTTCATGGTTAGCTGTCCAAACGGCCAGCCTGTCTAGACAGCTGATGGCACTGGGAGCTCTGAAGTCAAAAGCAGCCACTCTTGGGCATGCTGCCTCCTGGGCAGCCCTGTGTTAGAGCTAGTGGGGTTCTTGTGAAGCTCCATGGGCTACGAGTGTGTGCTAACAAGGCATTAAACAACTGATATGAGTGTATAAAAAAAGGAATTTTCAATTCTTAGTTATTTCTGACTGCCATGGTATGGCTCTGGTTATGGTTTTTTGGTGGTCTTTAATTTTGTTTTATAGCATTGTGCCCAAATTCAGTTTTGAGCATAATTCTGAGGTCTAATACTTTTTTTTCTAATAGAAGCAAATGATGAAGATAAACCAATCCCCATGTTCCACTGTGTTCCAGACGTAATTTCAATACAGATAGCAAAGCATTAGTGCACAGAGCAGTGTCACAGAGCCATTTGCTCTGTAATCACAGAAACTCTGTTTTTCCAGGGTTGAAGAGTAAAACCTGAGTACAGTTACTGTATTTCCAGTAAACAAGCAGCTGCTAACAGGTGAAACAAAAGGCTAGTTAATGCTTTAATTTATCATTATGAATACGGGACTAGGTAGCCTTTAAGGTTGTCTGGTCACAATATTTCTTGCAAATATCTTTGAAACTTGCTGCAGGTGTTTTGGAGCTGGGTACCTTACATGCCACGTGTCATTCCTTAGTTTATTATGTGCATTTGCTGATGCAAGAACTTGTCAGAACAACAAAAAAAGGAAGCAACTGAGAAGTCTGTGTACACTTTACTCCTCTGTTGATAAACTTGTTTTTGACATGTTATCATGTTAACATGTCTGTTTCTTTTGATGTGCATATATGCATGAAAGGGGGTTGGCATTAGGTCTTCTCAGTGTATCAAAAGATATATTCAGAATTCCTAAACAGATGAAATTTTACACCCACAGAAAACAAGACTGGTACATTTTGATTGTAGGAAAGTTTACTGATTCCTTGTTGTTATTTGATGGGTTTGGTAACATCACTTGATGTTTTGAGGTAGGATTATAAGAACTAGGCTTCATTTGCTTTAAGAATAATTTAAATTATTTAATATACCCTAACTTGATTTTGGATGGTTTCCCTTGCTGTTGTCTTAAAATTGACTCCTTTCATTCAAGATTGAAAACCTTCAGGAGCAGCTGAGAGACAAGGAGAAGCAGATGAGCAGCTTAAAGGATCGAGTGAAATCCTTGCAGGCTGACACCACCAACACTGACACTGCCTTGACCACGCTGGAGGAAGCGTTGGCAGAAAAAGTGAGTGTGGAGAGCGCTG